TTTCCCCATTGACATTCCTTCGGCGAGCGGAATGTAATGATTTGCCGTGGATTTCTGAATGGCGTATTAATTTTCGAGACGGCACAACCTGTCGATACCATCAAATGGTTTTTAATTCGTTTAGCTATCAGTTTGGGCTTAAATGGCAAAGCACCGTCGACTCTGGATTAGAAGGTTGTAGGTAACAAGCCCCCAAGTGGGGAATCTGAGCTCACGGTCTTAGTCTGACCGTCTCTGGGGCGGCGGTGGGGGAGAGGAGAGGGGGGTTCATTATCGGAGGTGCTGTCCTTCGGAGGAGATGTTACACCCAAACTGAACTGTTAACCACACCCGAGGGGTTCTCAGGCTAAAAAGAGCAGCCGCCGACGGTGCAACGGAATTAAAGCTGCACCTGTTCAAGATAAGGGGCATTAATCACTGATTATTATTATGATTTCTCCCACAAAATATAGTTAATTCACTTTACAGTCTCTTCCTGGCAATGGCTTTAATGTAAAACAAGAAGCCAAAGGTTTCAGCCCATGTTATTAGGTTATTATGTTTTTATGTGGTCGTTCAGGGTCGTTCCTCACTGTGTTTAAGGGCAGTTCTCTAAACGTCAGGATGATTGCAGAAATGTTAAACGGCAGGACAGGAGACACGTGCAAGTCCCCCCAAAAAAGCCACAGATTCATTTTCAATTGTCATTTTTTTTGCGGCCCCAAAAATATTTCATATTAATTCTAGATTTAATTACGGACATTCTCCTGAATGATGTAAAGTCTTGGGTTAGACCTGATTAGAGTTCAAGCAAAGTTTACTTTTTTTTTTAAATTTCTTTTCTTATATTGTTTTAAAGTGGATCGATTTCTGGGGGGGGGGAGGGAGGGAGGTAAGAATCCCTTCAAAAATAAATAAATATGCGGTCAGTCAATCCATGAGTGTTTGCGGGACACTACTGTGAGCAATTGGCTGGTGCGTTTCGCCCACAAAATATACTTTACAGTAACATCCTGTGAAGCGCTTCGAGACATCTCAACAACGCGATAAGGCGCTGTATCAAATGCAAGGTTTATTATTATTAAAGTCTCTTATGCATCGCACGACGGAGGAGATTGGGTGAAACAAAATGAAGTGACATTGGGACTTTCTGCATGTGTCAGGAAGGAGTGGGTTGTTCATGGCTTATATACTACTGAGTCACTTCATAGAGAAAGTGACAATATATCATTGCTTCATCTGTCTCCATCCAAAGGTCACTTCCCAACCTGGTTCAATTAATATCCAGCTCCTCACAAGCCATTAAAAGGCGGTGTCGTTCTCAGCCCGGGACTCAGTCAAAGTCATTTCCCCCCCGCGGAAGAGATAATTCTGCTTAAGGGAAGCCACGGTTAAATCCAACGGTTGAGAGCAAAGAAAAAGATAGCAGAAATTCAGCAATCTATTAGATGAGAGGGAATTAAATTACAGGGTCTGAAATGTGTTCAAATATCATTCACTGCCTTTGTTATGTTACGTTATGTCATTTCATGGTTCCCTGGAACTGAGATGGAAAGAGATTGAATTTTTATAGCGTTGGGAAGTGCCTCAAAGAGCTTCTCAGTAAACCGCCATCGAGCGTAGTGACTGTTTTTCTTTGTTCGGAGCACCTCATCGCTCCCTCCCGCTCGGCTTCAGGCTCTGCCACTGTTTAAGCCCTCCCGGACACAGCCCTGTGTTGAAGGGAGCTACATAAACGCTGCTGTTGTAAGCGCAGCATAAGGTCACTACACTTTACACCACACCTTGCATTTGAGACAGCGCCTTTTCACGTCTTCGGGACATCTCAAAGCGCTTCGCAGAGTATACAGTCAAGTGCACTGACCGTATATTTTGTGGGCGAAACGCGGCAGCCAATTGCACACAGCAGCGTCCCCACAGACAGCCGTGGATTGAGTGACCGATTTAATATTATTATTTTTCCGAAGGGATTATTACCCCCCCCCCGGAAAAGTTATCTGCCAATCGACTAACAACCGGGTTCGTACTCGCTGCTGGGTAAACAGAGGCGTGTGCGTGTGTGTGCGGAGTAAGGAAACTCGCCCAACGTTTCGCCCCGCCCGGGAATCGAACTCGCTTGCGAGGCGAGTGCTCCAACCGCTGAGCTCCAGGACTCCACAAAGTGACGCCATCTCATAAACTAGTCCCAAACTTCCTGATGAAGCATCTCTGGAGCCGCCTGTGGAGTCAGGGCTCAGTGCACTAAGTGACAGCTGATTTCACAACTCAGTCACCTCAGGCAATGCAATCCCTTTCCATTCGCTTTCGCAATCATTCTCTTTCTCTCCCTCGAACATTTTCTCGGAGAATATCTGGGCTCATCAAGGTGAGGAACGACAGAGCTCAGCACCTGAGGGAGGTGAGAGTTCAGGTAATAAATTTAACGTTGCCTTCCACCTCTGCCCCCCCCCACCCCCCCCCCCCCCCACCTACTTCCTCCTCTACCCACATTTATTGGAAGAACTCGCAAGGGCTCTGCCTTCAGAGAAAGTGTCTCAACTTCTTCATCGGGAGAAGACGTCCCATTTATCAGCGTGACACTTCCATTTCTCTGCTCGCCAAGCCCTGCAGAAACGTTGAGCGAGGACCCGGCATTTTCACTGAGAGACAAACAGCCCGAATTGCCAAAGCTGATCGCCAGCGCTGGGAACAGCAACCGGCGTTCCACGAGCTTATTTACTTGGTATCTACGGAGTCCCTGTAGCGTAGCGAGCGAGAGGACCCGGGTTCCATTCCCGACAGGCTCGGGTGCAACCGTAACCTGAACCCGTACACTTCTGTTTGCCTCGCAGTAAGGAGGAACCTGGTTGTTATCTCGATCGGCGGGCCACTTTTCGATTAATAATCCCTAACTCTGCGCAAGTCGCGTATCATACAACTTACGCAAGTTTGACATAACTCGTACTTTGCGTGAGTCATAATAAAACAATCCTTGCGTTTGATACAGCGCCTTTTCACATCGTTGAGACATCTCAAACTAATATGACTTGTGTGAGATTTCCTGTAGTATTATTATTATTATTATTACACAGAGGGAAAGTTGTATTTTTTGTTTCTCTACCTCCCGGATTTCACGTGTGATCCTTGCTGTTCCCGGGTTGCAAGACGTCCACTTGTTCAAAAGATGCGAGGCACAGTACAGATGGTCCTCACGCGTGGGGGGTTGGGGTGGTGGTGGGGGTGGGGGGAATAAACCTGTCCCATCTCCAAGAGGCTTTGTTCTGAGACCCGGGAACCACTGGCTCTGTTCGGAAGCGAAGCCTCGGGAACCCTCCAGACGACCGGGAAAAACTTGGAAAAGAAACAACAGAAGAGGATGGGGGAGAAAAAAAACATTCACAGCAACAAGACGACTGCGAACGAAACCGCTTGCATTTACCCGACGCCCCCTCACGCAGGGTGGCGTCCCAGAGCGCTTGACAGTGGCGGAGCACGGCGCTGATACGGGTGGAGTGGGGCGGGAGGTGACCGTAGGCGCGGTCGAAGAGGAAGGTCTTGAGGCATGACCTGAAGATAGGGAAGGAGGGGACCAGGCAGAGGGATGGAGAGGATGTTCCAGAGATTCACCACGTAAATGTGGAATATGTGAGGATTTCCTAATTGTATGAGCGCAGCTGAGCCGGTCTCTGCCTCAACGCTGGTGACGGGAAGTCAGAACGCGTCGATCTCACTTCGCATCAAACACTAAAGCTAATCACTATAGCCATCGCCAGGGCTTCGGTTAACAAACCGTCAGGGAGATCAGTCAAGTCCAGTTTCCGACTCGATTCTTTCGAGCTAATCTTTGGCGATTTCAATTCAAACTCCTTCCCCCCCATTTTCCCGTACATCGGCTCATTATTTTTTTACATAGAAAAACAAATACTTACATCAATCTCCCGCCTCTCCTCGGCTTCACGCTGTCGAGAGCAAATGGGCCGCTGTGTTTGCCTTGCCTCGACCCCTCTCTTTATTCACCTTTAAATCCCACCTGAAGACCTTCCTCTTCGACCGTACCTACGGTCAACCCCTCTCCCCCACCCCCGCCCCGGCCGCCCCTTCTCCCTCGTACAGATCCCAAGCCCCGCCACTGTGTGAAAAAAAATGCGGTGACTCGATCCACAAAAACAAAACTGATCACTCCATCCACGACTGTTTGCGGGACACTGCTGTGCGCAATGGGTTGCCTCGTTTCGCCCCCAAAGTACTCAGTCGCTCCACCGCACGGTATATTCTGCGAAGCGCTTTGAGATGTCGCAACGAGGCCATAAGCCCCTGTGTCAAACGCAAAGATTATCACAGTAAACCTACGTCTGATCTGTGTAAATCATATAAGCGATTATCTGCCCGAGTCCCAATGAATTTCCTATTATTTCTACGTTTGACATAATTCATACTTTGCGTAAGTCATATTAAATGTACAGTCCCAACTGGTACGACTTTTGTGAGGTTATTGCTATCAATATTACTATTATTATTACTGTGCAGCGCTCCGAGACTCTATCCTGCGCGAAGGGTCCTGTGTAAACGCAAACCGTCGTCGCTGCCCCTCTCTGCTCCTCCAAGACCCAAACCCCGGCAATAACTCCAAAGAGAGAGAGAGAGAGAGAGAGAGAGAGAGAGAGAGAAAAAAAAAAGCCCCCTTCTCTTTACAATGAATGGGAAAAAAAAATGTAATCCAAACGGGTTTTATTTCTTTGTTCCGATACATTCTTCGACAATAACAACACATCGTTCTTTCCCAATTAACGGACGGCGGGAAAAAAATAAATCTGTTGGGTGGGTGTGCGGCCGAAAAGAATATCATTTCACGAGAATTGGCACAATTAGCAGCGAGATTAATGTCAATACTTTTGAACGTTTTTTTTTCTCTTTTAACAAATAAACAAACTGTAGAAAAATGAACATGCTTTTTTTTTTCTCCATAGTCCTTTTAGCACACTGGTCCATAGAGGGGAAACGGGTGGGAGAGGGGGGTGGGGAGGAGGGGGGGGGGGGGGGGGGGGAGTGGTGGGGGCGAGGGAGAGAGCAGAACAAGACATAAACCTCTGACTAAACAGGAAATCTCCAAGACTTAAGACTTAAATAAGTGTCATCGCATTCAGGAAGCACAGGTAAAAACAGAGCGACAGAGATGCAACTACTCAAAACGTCACAAACTATAGCAACGGGATTTTTCATTTTCCTCTTCTGGGTTCTCGATTACTTTCGTTTTGTTTCCTTTCTCGTTTCCGTCCTGAAAACTTCTCGTCGGGGGGGAAAGGGGGAGGGGAGAGGGGAGAGGGGGTCGGGGTCGGGGTCGGGGGGGGGAAGAAATAAAAACAATCGCGTCACCTCCTCCTTCTTCTCCTCCTTTTCTCGCGCTCTCTCTTTCCGTGAGCTCGCGATTGCACGTCACGGTTTAGTCCCTTGCCGTCCCGGGAGGGTGAGGAGAATCGCGTCGGGCATCAGTTACGACCCCTAAAGCCACAGCCAAACCGAGTCGACCTCACAGCATCACAGCGGCCATCAATATCGCCAGTCGCGTCAAGGTACCATTTTGCCCGAGAGGAGCTTTTTGTCCAGCAGGGAGTGTGGGGGGGTGGGGGCAAAAAAATTAAGACACTTGGGGGAGGGGGGTCGCAAGTGTTTCGAGTCTCTTAGAGGTGTAACCTGGCTCAAAGACCACCCCCACCCCCAAACCACCACCACCGCCTTACCTCACCCCCTCTTTGCCTCCCTCTGTCTGTCTGTCTGTCTCCACGCGTGAGCAGGAGGACACATTGAGGCCTGAAACCAGATGAATGAGGAGATGTGCAGATATACGCTGTCCGTTCCCGGAGCCGACAGTTTAGATGACCAGGTCGTTGTAGCTCACGTACTTCTTTTTTGCTGGGGGGCCTGCAACACGGACACACGTCAGTCAGCGAGGGGGGTGGGGGGCTGGAATATTTCGCCCAGAAAATATAGAGTCAAATCAGAGCTGGACTAGTGCACACTCCCACTCAGATTCACTCCCTCACACTCATTCACTCACACCCACTGCTCCATCCCCCCACCCATCCCGAGGATCCTGTTGGCAGCTTTGACCCAACCACTGGGACCCAGAATACGGGGTCAAACAAGACGTTAGCACATCACAAGACACTTTTTTTTCACCCCAAAGATCGCTACCTAATTACACCGCTCCATGCTAATCACTGAAAACTCAAGCACATCAAGGCATCCGTCATCAATCACTGAACGCCCTCTGTTTGTCTCTCTCGCTCTTGCTCTTTCCGCCCTTGTGTGTCTGTCTCGCTCTCTTTCTCTTAGTCTTTTTTTCTCTCTCCCTCGGTCCTTGCCTCTCTCCCTCTTTCTCGTTCTCTCTCTTTCTTTCCCTGGTACAAAGTGAATTCCATAAAAGGGAATTTGGGATTCTAAGGGAAACAGCAGAGACTGTAATGTTTAACTCAAAAAAGCGTTTGAATAAATCATGAGAGTGATGATCTATCTCCTCGCTCCTCACTGATCTGAAGAGCCTTTGATCTTCGCAAGTTCATCCAACTGCTGAACACACACATTTATACCACTTCACATTAGCTGCACACAATCCCGGGTGTGGAGGTGGGAGAGGGAACGAGGCAGGGAAGGAGAGCGGAGCGAACGAACGGGAGAAAGGGGAGTGGGGAGTGGGAGAGGAGATCACCACGTAAAGCTCTCCCGAGACTCTTGCCCCGGCTTGAAGGCCGCTCTGCAAGCACAAGTTGTTGTTGTAAAACGGTGGTGGTGTGGGGTGGGGGAAGGGGTTGTCAGTTCGGGAGGGAGGGGGTGGGTCAGAAGCCAAAAAAGCCACGTCAATCCACTTCACAGTGTATCCTGTGAAGCGCTTTGAGACGTCTCAACGGTGCGAAAAGGCTCTGCAATCAAACGCAAGGATTATTTTACTATTATTACCCCCCCACCACCACCACCCCCGGGTAATAATGGCAGGTAAGTCCAGGGGGAGAGACACTGACTGAGGAGTGTGGGTGTCAGCACAGGATGAGTTAATCCACCTGCGCAGCAATCAGCTGTCTGGGAGCTGACAAACCACAGAGAACTCAGATTCCTGCAGCTCATTTATTTCCTCCCACCATCACTGCCTGTTACCTACATCCTGAAGGTTGCTGTTGAGCCGGGGGCTACCGCTGTGGTGACATTAATAACACGCTTTTTTTTGGGAGGGGGGTGGGGGAAGAAAAAAAATGTGATTTAAATGACTCATTCGTTTGGATTGAGTCAGTTTCGTCTTCATTTCTATCTTCCCGCTTCCCCCAACATGAACCCCCCCCTCCCACCCACACACACACGCACACACACACGCACACACACACACACACAAGCACACACGCACATCGAGGACATTCAGCTCACGGGCTAACGGTTTGGAAGAGCGTCCGGCTGCGTTGCGAGACGTCAAAGCCAAGCTGCCATTTTGACTTCTCAAGCCCTCCGTGGTCTGGCTCCTCCCTACCTGTGAGACCTACTAAACCATTACCAACTTGCCTGCTCCCCCCGCTCAGCGGGCACTGGCCTGCTCCATGTGCCCCCAAGCCACCCGCTCCACCATTGGCGCTCGAGCCTTCAGCCTCCCTGCCACCCCACCACCCTCTGGAAATCCTTCCCGGAGCTCCTTTGCCTCGCCACCCCCCCCCCACCCCCAACCACCTTGGGAGGCCTGTCTCAAGACCCTCAAGAGTCTCTCTCACCTTGTTCAGGAATGAGGGCTTTGTTCTGAGTATCTCTGGCTGGTTTGAGAGTGTCGCAGTGACCGTGGGCTACAGTGAAAGAGAAGAGCAGGTTACCACACAGGTACAGGTCATAGACACGTGGTGTGCAAATGGACACCCCTCTCCTCCTCAACTCCCCCACATCCCCTGCGTACCCCTCCGCCCCTCACCTCCCCCTCCCCCCACCAACAATGCTGCATTGTCAGAGATGTCATCCAAGGTCCCGCCTGCGCTTGATCAAGCGGACGTTAAAGATTCTGCGGCGCAAACTGGCAAAGAGAAGGGAGTTGCTCCCTCCTGGTGTCCTGGCCGACAATCCCCCCCCACCAAAGTAAAAATTGCCCACCGGCGCCACGGCTGTTTGCCGGGCCTCGCGGTGTCGCTGTACGCAGATCGGCTGCCCCGTTTGCCCGCAGAATACAAGTCTGGTGAAGCGCTTCGAGACGCCTCGACGAGGAGATAAGGGCGCGAATCAATCAAGCCCGAGGAATTACTACCTCTCGTGGCCGGATGGGAGCAAATCCGGAGGATCCTAACCAGGATGGGACGTGCCTGGCTGGGAGGCGAGGAACGGGTTAAGGATTGTCAGGCAATTCGCCGCACAATGGCTTCTCTGTTAATTGTGAAATTGACGTGAAATGAACAATGTGAGGCCAGTTAATTGCACTGTAGCGAGCTGTGTAACGTCAAGCCTGAGCTCAGCGATCCAGGCCTAGCTCTGCAAAGCGATGGTTAGGGGACAGGGACACAGCAACAGGAGAACCTGCAGATAGCACTTCTTCAGCGAGCGAGCGGTAAAACTTATGGAACGGGCTCCCTTGTGAGACAGACATCGGACGCGGGAGATGTCGTTTGTTTCAAGAACAAACCAGATAAGCTTTCTGCTCGGAAGTAATGCCTGGGGTACAGTATGTAGTTCGGGGCAGGACACGGCAAGCAACTGATGGCCAGGGTGGTGGAAGGCGAACTAGAAGGACCTCGGTCTTCTTTCGCTTGCGAGGCGAGTGCTCTAACCGCTGAGCTACAGGACTCCACACGACAAGACACTAAATACAACCCATCGAGCAGCTTGTCAAGGAGAGAAGGAGCCTTGGACCCTGAACTTCCTCCTAGTCTTAACCCACGTCTTCCGATTTCGGACGAATCCTTGAATTCGGCCTGGATTTTGGAAGCGGATTTTCCAATGTTGCTTTGGAAAAAAACCATCTCCTGCACGGAATCGAAGCAGGATTTAGGAATATTCCACGGATCTGAGACTCGAAGACAGCCCAGTCCGATATTTGGGCTCAGACCGGACAGGGGCCGCTCTGAGACATCTCGATGACGGGATAAGGCGTTAAATCAACTGCGAGGATTATTATTACTATTAATATTATTATTCATGGAAGGCCGACTAGCTTGAAGGAAACCATGCCCTGATTTGTTGCACTTGCAATGTACTCTGCCAGAAAACCTCAATTATTCATCAAACTAAATTATATAATACTTCCCCAACCCTCCGAGGATCACCTTGGCATCTGAATAAATGAGAGGAGCATTTTTTTTTTTGTGCGCGCGTTAGCGAGAAAGTGGAAGGGGGAGAGAGTATGTGTGTGTGAGAGAGAGAGAGAGAGAGAGAGAGGAAGAGAGGGAGAGAGAACCTGTGTTTGCAAATGTATATCTCCAGTGAAATATGGTTCGGATTTGTGAGTGTACAACAAGGAACCAGCCTTGCTTACAGCAAAGAGCTCAATTTATACTCCGTTGTTTTCGCTTTCATTCATCATTTTAAACCCGGTGCGGCATCCATCAGATGAAACGCGGGTGCGTTTCAGAAGGTAAACAAGTTAAACAGCTTGCGCCACGATCAGGTCTACAAATACATTTCCCTTTTGGTTTCGGGGAGCTTTCGGGGTGAGGCGAGGCCAAGGGGGAGCCAACCAGAGTTCGTAACTTGCTCGAAGATTTATGAATCGAGCTGCATTGAAAAAAAAAACGCTTGTAAAGGAAGCGGAATGAATAATTAATACCCCCTCCTCAACCCTCCCCCCCCTCCCCCCTCCTCCTCCTCCTCCTCCTCTTCCCTCCCCCTTTGCGCGCTCAGCTAACCTGATTGACTCTCCAGACACCCTCAACCCAGAGAGCCGCCGGCTATTTGGGTAAATGGATTTAAAACAAATTGTCTCTGGTAGCTGAGGCGTGGAGCGAAGGCTGTTTTATATCATGTGAGCGAGTCTCAACTCCACTCTGCAGGAAGAGAACAACAACAACAACAACAACAACAACCACCTGCACTTATAATAGTGCCCTTCGCTCCCAATGCCGTCTCACAGCCCTGAGCCGCAAACAAAGGAAAGCGTCAGCCCTTATATCTGAACGAGAAGACCGCTCCCGGTTTGGTGGTTCAAGGCACCAGATTGTCCTCAAGTTGGCAACGTTGCCGTTAGGTTTGCTGTTCGGCTGCCAGTCTGCGATCGAACTGAATGTTTTATTTGTGTGCGCGTGCGTGCGTGCGTGCGTGCGTTGGTTCCTCCCTCTACTCTTGGCTAAACGTACTTTTGGGCTGGAAAATGCAATGTTTCTTAACAGATTCTACGTGTCAGCACAACCGTGTTATGGAACGTGTTGAGAAACATATGGGTGAGCGATTACATTGAATCTTGAGACGTGGAAGGCACTGTACTCAAATATGAGATTATCATAAAATAATAATAATAATCCTCGCATTTGACATAGCGCCTTACCACATTGTTGAGACGTCTCAAAGCGCTCCGCAGAATATACCGTGAAGTGGAGTGACTGTGTGTTTTGTGGGTCAAAAAATATTAATATGATTCACATTACACTTGCCCTCAATCCCTCCGCCTTGCCCCATCTCTCCCCTCTTTCAAGTCCCGCCTGAAGACCTTCCTTTTCGACTGCGTTTACGGTCACCTACCCCTGCACAGGAAGATTAAAGTGTGGACGATATTACACAGAGGAATAAGTGAGACGGGAATAATACCTGCGCCGGCGTGGAGTAATTGTTTGGTAATTGGAGACAAATGAGACTGATCTATGATGTAAGTCATAATTGTTCCTATTGATTGATCAGCCACAGGGGGAGTGGGTGTGCGGGGGGGGGGGGGAAGCAGGCAGCAAATCTCATTGAACAGAAGGTGAAATTAATTCACTCAACGACCTCTGCTCGTGGGAAACTGACACGTGCACGTCTCTGTATCACAAGCACACAGCACAGTAAGAGACCATTCAGACCAGAACGTTTCGCCCACAAAATACACAGTCGATCTCACTTTATCCCGTGAAGCGCTTTGAGACATCTCGACGATGTGATAAGGTGCTCAATCGAATGCAAGGATTATTATTAACCCATGTCAGTCCAGCCGATGTCCTAATCCCGATTATTTCCTTGCTTCACGCCCTCCCCTCCCATCCCCCTGCCCGTCCTCTCCAATCTCCTTCCTCTGCGTGCGTGCGTTTGTCTTAATTTTCTCTTAAATGTCCCTCAGTCAACTTTACGCTGACACCTTAATGGCCATTTCATAGGGAAAGGTTGAGTGGGTGGGGGTGGGGGGGGGGGGGGTGGGGGGGGTTGTGGGTCACTTGCTTCAATTGAAGAATTTGCTTCCCGTAGCAAGAAATTCCACGTTAGCAATCAGTGTGGAAACCAGGATTAACTATAACGTGTTTTCCTTTTCGGGAATAATTAAAGGCAGGATCTAATTAGGGAATTAAGATCACAACCTGCAGACAGTACCGCCAATCATTCAATCCCTCAGCAAACCTGCTTTCCTTTAGCCTCTCGGTTAAAAACCTGCCACCGATTTATTTATTGGAAGGATTATTATCCACCCATCACCGCCCTTGGGCTGAGAAGGTTCTATTAAGCTCAGCCCCTTACAGAGCACCTGAGCAGAAAGCAATGAACTCATACATACGTGGCCTACTTACTGTTGGGGTCTACGTTCTCGCACAGCTCTGTCTTGGCCTCGCCGTTGGGTCGATCGGCGGACTTGTGGGAGAGGCGTGAGGACATAGTGGCGGCTGTCACCACCGCCTTGAAGCTGCGTTTCCTCTTCTGGACGTTCTGCTCCGGGTGGAAGATGATGATGTAAACCTTGGGCATGTAGAGCATGCCCAGAGCCACCGAAGCACTTAAGTTCATGGATATGGTTAAGGTAGTGGTCTGTACGTACAACTGGGAGAGATAGAGAGAGAGAGAGAGAGAGAGAGAGAGTGAACAACGAGAGTCACACTGACTGACTGTCTCTACCGAACGCAAACCGTTCCCCTCCCCCATTTTTGCCCGCAAAACATACAGTCACTCCACTTTTACAGTATATTCTGTGAAGCGCTTTGCGATGTCTCAACGACGTGATAAGGCGCTGTATCAAATGCAACGTAAATTATTGGTATAAATAATGTACACGCGCAAATATGAGCCCCGCCGCCCTCTTTGTCAGCGAGCTTCTCGCTCTTTGCCACAGATGATTGATGCCTGTGATCGCATTAGTCCCACCAGAGCTTAAAGCGGATTCTTAAATGTCGTAGCCCCGTTGCGGCCATCCATGCAGGGAAATTCCTCCTGCACGCATGAGGGGAATTCACTAACCCCGATCTCGGGAGTCCCTCTCCGCGTGTGGTTTGTTTGTTTGTTTGAAAGGTTTATTGCGTAACCAACCGTGGTTTTATTGTGTGACCAATTTAATGCCCTGTCACATCGCCGTCAGACTGAGGGGGTCTCCTGCCGATCCGGCGGAATTCACGATCCTTATTCTCCTGCCCGAAATCCAGCCGGTCACCCCCTTTTTAACCCACTTTACTCTAAGGTACCTGATCACCTCCCCACACTCGTCCCGCCCCACACACCCCCTTCATACCCACACACACACACACGCACGCACATACACACCCACACACCCCTCCACACCAACTCACGCACATACATCTTCCACCCTGTACACATGTATGGGTACGTTTCGCCCACAAAAATATGCAGTCACTACACTTTACAGTGTATCCTGTGAAGGGCTTTGAGACGTCTCGAAGACGTGGTAAGGCGCGATATCAAATGCGAGGATTATTATTAGTAGTATATACATACACACACACACAGACACACTCATACCCACACACGCCCACATACATACACACAGGTTCCTACTCAACACACGCACACGCGTGCACACACGACTACTGTCAAACAATGTGAACAATGCCACAGCTCCACAGCTGCCCTCGATTCGAGTCGAGCTGGGATCCCGCAACCATTGGCCCAAAGGTCCGTCTCCATCCTACGCCACTATTTATATAACCCTGCACCGCCAACCGTACAGAGGCAGGAACACACTCTGAACAGAACTGAGCTGCTGTCTGTTCACCAGAATACTCCCATGTGTCTTTGGTTCTTTCTTCAATCTTAATGTGTGCGTGTGTCTGTGTGTGTGTAGTGTGTGTGTGTGTGTGTGTCTGTGTACGTGCGTCTGTGTGTGTATGTATGTGTCTGGTCTGTGTACGTGTGGGTGCGTACGTGTGTCTGTGCACGCGTACGTATGTGGATGTATGTGTGTCTGTGTGTGTGAGCAAGTGAACAAAATAAAGAGATAACAGGGCTGCAATATTTAGCATGTTTTCACTGAGGTCTCAGTAAACCTCGTGAGACACAACGCCCGCGCTGTTTTGACAGACACCCCCCCCCCCCACCCCCTTCCTGGGAGAGGAAAGCTCAGTATCACAGCAGCTCACACCGATTCCACGCCCCACATTTACGGGAAAAAAACGACTGTCGGGAAAAAACCAATTAGTGTCAGATTTAAGGGGAACTTTTGCATTGCAGTCATGGGTCCTTTGGGAGCTGGATGGAGACTGGATTGAAGCTGCTCAATGCGTTTACGAGGTCTTTAAGTGCCTGCGATAAAGAGAGGAAGTCCTCGCGACTCAACTGGTTGGGTTGGACACGGGTGGAATTCGAAGAGGACCCGATGATTAATTTCTCCTTCTCACTCCCTCTCGCGCTCTCATACGATGAAGGTCAAATAGGTGCAAATGTCACTCAGATGTTCGCAGCGCTCTCTCTCTCTCTCTCTCTCTCTCTCTCTCTCTCTTCGGGGTCCAGTGTTAATAATAATAAAAGAACATTTGCATTTGATGTAGCGCCTCATCACATCAGCCAATTGCGCAAAGCAGTGTCCCCCAAACAGTTGTGGATTCAGTGACCAGATTTTTTTTTATTTTGGAGGGATTCTTACCCCTGGAAAGTGATCCCCCAATCGACTAACAACCGTGTTCCTTCTTAATACTCGATAAACAGAGGTGTGTTGAGTAAGGAAGCTTTCCTGAGGTTTCGCCCCGGATGGGAATTGAACCCGGGTCCTCTCGCTTGCGAGGCGAGTGCACGAACCGCTACTCTACAGGACTCCGTTCTAACGCTGCGGCCTTTTACACCCGATTGCTTTACGACTTGTCAAAGGTGCACCAGATTAACCGATTGGCTGCAGGATTTTACTGCAATAGTGTAGTGACTGTGCGATTGTAGGCGAACTCGGGCGGCAGCCGATGGCGCACAGCAACGTCTGGTAAACAGCCACCACGGGAGCGATCCATTTTATCCGGGGCCGGATTGTCGGCCAGGACACCCGGCGAGAGAAACCCCCTACCCATTTTCGATTGGTGCCGCCCACCCACTTGAACAGACACGTCTGGAGACCTCGGGTTAAACGTCTCAGGTAAAAGTCAGCACCTCCGACGATGCGCCCACAATACCCCAGCGCGGCAGTGCAGCGTCAGCTTAGGCCTCGTGAGTTCAGATCCAAGGGCCGACGACAGAAGTGCTAACACAGCAAAGGAGAACACAGGTAACTCTCAGAGGCAATTCCGTTTCAGCCAAGCTAAACCCTAAAGGATTCATTAGCCAGGTTCCTCGCTGTACGCACAGTTTCTGACGGTATTACCCTACTTATCTGGAGTGTGGAACAAATTCCCCCTTTGTTAACAGAATAACGTTAAGGGATTGGAAGCAGCAGAACTGAGAGACCCTCAGGAAATTGGCTTCTTAAGAGTCGTAATTCACAACATGTCAATTACTCTCGAATAATGGGTGGAAAAATTGCTTCCTGTGAATGTATAATTTGGCGGCAGAACTAGACCCATATTACCTGGATCTTCCCTTCCTTTCTAAATAAAAAAAAAGGTTATTTTCCTTATATAACTCACGAGCCAATTTCAGTTGGGTCGAGATGTCGAAAACGCTTCTGAGAAGTAATTGGAAGCAATTAAATGATAATAATAAAATAATCCTCGCGGTTTGATACGATACCCGCGTTGCCTTTCACGTGGGAAGGACGGCTCAAAGCACCTCACGGGGAGTCCCTGTAAAGTGCAACCGCTCTGTGTTTTGTAGACAAACGCTACAACCAATTCGTACACAGTAATGACCCCACAAACAGCCACGGAGAGAGGGACCATTCTTATCTGGGGGCGAGAGAGAGAAAAACTCCCTTCTCTTTTCGACCCCCTCCACCCCCACCAGCGTTGCACCTGACCGCCAGCCGGGACAAAACACTTTGCAAACACGCCTTGCGGTGTTATTTCAATCCGCTCGTCAAACGCTTGGCGTTTGAGGCCGTGTTGTTGATTTATTTATCGCTGGGCTTAGGGTTGGCGCAAAGCTACTGTACGCACTTCCCAGAGTGTACAGCGGTCCTTTCTCCCCCCCCCCCCCGGCTCCCAGGCTTGATTCAAGCCATTAGCCAGAGAGACAGAGGCCGATCGATCACTCCCACTGACACATAGCACAGTGTTTGATTGATACACAGCCAAGCGGTTACGGCCTGCTGTTTACTGACTGTCACGTTGACGGCCTGCGACTTGCTTTACATACTGTATCAAACAAAAAAAAGGGGATATAGCGATGAATTCCGCAGGTATTGGCTGGTAATTTGTTACCCCACCAACCCCCCCACCCCCCACTCCCACGGGATTAATATTGCATGCCGTTGAGAGCCAATTTCGATTGCTCTCTACGGCGTGTCGGAAAGTGACACTTACAGCAGCAAAACGAGCTCCACAATTCTTTTTAAAGAGCGACGTGAAAGTCGCTGCTGTGTCCTTGCAGCGCGCGAGGGGGGAACGAGGGAGGGCACAGCGATGGTCGCAGTCAACTTGGGTCCTCTCGCTTGTGAGTCGAGCGCCCTAACCACAACGCGGCAGGAACACAGGCCAACTCCAGCACTAAAACGCAGCACTCCCCCAGCTCCGCACGCACGCACGCACGCACACACACACTCACTCCCCCACCCCCTTTGCGTGAGATGTCAAACCGGGACCTTGTGCAGGTGGACGTGAAAGTTCCCGCTGCACTACTCGAGAAAGAGAAGGGAGTTTCTCTCTCCTGATGTCCTGCCAGGTCTGCCCTTGCAATGCACAGTCACTAGGTTTTACGTCTGCAATCGTGTCCTTCCTGAAGCGCTTTGAGATGTCCTCCCGACGTGATAAGGCGCTGACTCAACCGCAATTCTTACTCATTATTACGCCCGAGCTGCTTGCCACGGCCTGACTTTGACGGCATAAACACTGTTTATTCTCAAGGTTAGCAAAAGGGCTTCGAAACAGGGAAATTAGTCGGCGTGAATGCAATTCAAAGACAATTAAACCGTGCCCTGATGGAATTTCGATCCGAGGTGTGGCTAATATCATTTTATTCTGACAGATAGCTTTTTGCATTAAAACTCTGCGATCCGCTCATGTCTTTACTACTCCACCAATCAAAAGGAAAATGTGATTAAACATCAACAAGTTTCTCCATTTCTTGGGATTGTAATTAAAATGCAGGCGGATGCACGACAGCGTTGCTGGGGCAGACTGATGCTCCGATGCAGTGCTCGCGTGTGCGCGTGTGTGTGCGCGCGCGTGTGTGTCTGTGCATGTGTGTCTGTCTGTGACTGCGCGTGTGTCTGTGTCGCATGGTCAGAGGTGCCGTCCTTTGGATGAGACGTTAAGCCGAGGTTTCCCACCTGTTTGTGCCATGACACCTTTCGAAAAGAGAACGGGTTTTACCCGTTTAAGGGGGAGAGGGAGAGAGAGGAGTAAGGGAAGAGAGGAGAAAGAGAGAGGGAGGGGGCAGAGTAAAAGTAAGAGGAAGAGTAAGAGAGAGAGAGAGAGCAAGGGGAGAGGAAGATTGAAAGCAAGGAGAGATGAAAG